TGGAAAATTGCATAAAGTCTGTTGTTGTTTAAGTCACTCCCTGAAAGAAAAAAATCTTTGATTGCAGTACTGTGGTTACAGACCCATACTGTTAATAAAAACAAATGCAAAAGTCTAGCAAAACTATCAGTTCTGTCTGGAAAATTGTTGGGTTTATCTGCTCAGTCAACACAAAAGTGTGTGCTCACGCTTCTGAAATTCCCATTATCAAGCACAGTGAGAAGACTGACAAGCTGCCTGACCAAGGCAAAAAAATCAGATGTTCCAGCAACTCAGACTCTGGACACCACCAGCATTGCTGGCTCAACTTCTTTCCCATGGTAAAAGCTATGAGAAATTCATTTTGAAGACCAGGTTATTATGCAACGGCCTTGGTTACATCAGCACAGCCAGGGAAACACTAGGGGAGAGTATATAAATGTCAAGGCTCTGCGCCTGCGAGACGGCAGCAGCCTGCAGCGTGCCTGCAGGGAGCCAAGCCGCTGATCTCAGCCGGGCACAGGCACTGCCACCCTCCCGCAGCAGCAGAGCTCAAGGCTGGCTCCGACTCTGGTACGCACAGCACAGCCCCAGCGCAGGGCTGGACGTGCCAACCCCCTGGTTCACCCCGCTGCACCCAAGCCAGGTTTCAGCACTGCTGGCCAGGGCAGAGAAGGTGAAGCAGGGAGGGGAACAGGCTCTGGCTTACCTGAAGTCTCCACAGAGGGGTCCAGGCATCCCACGGCTCCATCCCAGCTCCCTCTGCTACGTACTAGCTTTCCAGGGATACAAACTGTCTTTCTAAAGGAGTGGCATGCTCTAAAAATGAATTAGTCATGGCAGTACGTCTGTTATCGTCTCATTTTTGAGCCACTGCCTTCAAAGGAGAAAGCCATAAGAAAAAGGATGGAACAAGATATAAACCAGCATTAACAAATTACATACCCACCCGATTCCAGTCAATTCCAGTGACTTTGGTGAAGTTGCAAATGAGACTGTCGCTACAGGTGAACTGAAACTATTGGGCCAAATCAGTGGCATGCAAGTCATAAGGCCACCTGTGCTGCAGGAAACCCACTGAAACAAATTAATTAAACATACTATGAGAGACACCAGAGATCACATCTGGACAACGACTGGCAGCAGCTCACTCACGAGAGTCCCTAAACTGAAGCTGCACCAATATTTCTCTTGATGTATTGCAGTAGGTAGCTTCTGTCTGAAAGTAAAGCAAAATGTACTGTAGAGAGGGGTGCCTGTTGGCACAGATGCAAGCACACTGCGTGGAGCAGCTACTCTTCGTCTGGATTTCCAAGACTCTCAGAAGTGACTTATCAAACTTGGCTTTAGTGGAGATGCATTTGCTTGGAACTTCTGACTGATGCCATGAGATCCTTCAGGTAACACCAATTGGGGGTGCATTAACCAGGAGTAAGTGAAGGCCTTCACACCCAGCAAGTCTAAGCCAAACACATCTCCTCGAGGTGTTACACTGATGACAGCCCCAAAGCCACACCAACCTGGTTACCAGACCTGGATTCCCAGGAGCGAGTGGTAACACCCAACTCTTCCCCATCCAAGGGTGGTTGGACTCCAAATTGCAACATTACGCTTTGTCACAACAGCCCATGCCATCTTAACCCCCAAGTTATATTGCTTGAATTTGCATGACATGATTGACTACCAAAAAAATAACACATTTTTCTGAAAGATTTTGTTCCATTTCGCTTAAACATCTTAAAAGGGGCCAAATCCAATTTCCACTGTGGCCAGTCAACAACAGGACTAGACCTGCAGTCTACCTTTCAACAGGCCACACATGGTCAGTACAAGCCTCAGCCCATACTGATCCATGCTAAAGTGCTTTGCAGAATTTGGGCTTTAGTAGCAAGTCATGCTCTGAAACTATTAAATAAATAGCAAGTAAAAAGTGATGTTGATTCTTCTAGCATTTTACATGCAATGTACATATTCACAGTTATTATTCTACCACAATATGTAGTACTTCTCACAGCCAAAGTTCTTGTTTTATAAACAATGTAAAGTAAGGAGACAGTTATTTTTATAAGGGATCATACCATTAAGAATGCTTATGTAATAAATTGTCCTGTCAAAATGGAAAAAAAAAAAACCAAAACATAAAAAGAGGCTCTATTCTGATTTCCTTTCGTGCAAGTACAGATCAGGTCACTCATCTTTGGGTAAAACTCCCTTTACCAATGAAATACTCTACTAAAACAGATATATATTCCTCCTCTTTGAAATATGTATGATTCAGGATCCAAACTGAGTAAACGCCTCTTGTCTTTAAAACACAGCTCTAGTTTAATGTAGATATATCCCAAGTTGTACATCTAGCTGTGTCAGAAAAGTCACTTTTATTTACTCCTGTATGAATAAAACATACTTCCATAGCTCACAAAGTCCAATGAAATTATTTCATGCCACATGCACAACTAGTAAAATGCTGCACCTTTGGGGGGCACATCACCCCTCCATTGCTTCTCAATGACTGTCACTTTACTCTATTTGCCCACGTCACTGATGACATAGGTATTTAGCACAGCAGGAACAACGTGCTCGCTAGGAGCCAGCCAGCAACATCTTCTCCTGCTTTGTTAGCTCTCAACGGTGCCGATGACATCATTAGGGAAGGCTGCTGCATGTAATTTAAACGCTATGGAAACACAACACAGCCCTAGGACTTCGACCCTTTCCCATACATTGCTGCAGTTGCTACAATGAACTTATTGTGTAACTTGGAAAAACTTACCTCAATGCCACAGAAACATATTCCTGAGCAAGGCGGAAAGCTTCTAATTTTAAAGCAATCAATCTCACCCTTCTGTGTTGGAAAAATACCTGTGAATCAAAACTAATTTGCAGCCAGAATAGTATAATAGGAAAAAATGTAATGAAGTATTAGCTTAACAAAGTAGGCTAGGGTGAACTTTGAACAAGGCAGCATTGCCAGTATTGATACATATGTGATCTTGGATTTGTCAGTTTTTCATCAGATTTCTGTAAAATATGGCTGACTACAAAACAGGTTAAGTAACAAGGGGTTTTGAACCCACAAATGAAAAGTAAGAATGCTTAGAGAGAGAAGCTATGTTTTTTTAACAGAACTATTCTGAGGCAGATAGAAGAAAGGCTGGAACGAGAGTTTCAGGTACCAAAAAACCTTTTCCATTTAGGTTATTTATGTCAATCAATCCCTTCTTGCTGCCTTTTCATTTCTACATCATACAAAATTATATCAATTAAATACTCCACACCTCAGCCATTTTCATACCTGTTTCTTGTTTAGTGACTAATTTGGTTTATAGATCAGTCAAAGAATTGACAGTTAATAATCCTGTTTAAATAATCTGCCTCTAGATCTTTCTTCTTTTAACTGCCTCTAAAAAATAAACAGCTATTGAAATAGCTTATTTTTAAATCTCTCCTAGCACAATAAGAATAATAATAGCAACTCACATTTTCCACAGTCAATAATCTGCCCCTCAAGTCAGGTGAAGCTGCTAAACTTTGGCTTCGCTCACTTCTGAGAAGCTGCATTTTTAACACACAGATCATACAGCAGTTCCATTTAAAGTGCTGCACTGCTGTGGATTTGACCAGCAAGTCACAACATGCTTTTATTTGCAGTGCAATCAAGGTACTCACCTGCTTAATGTGGTTCAGAATAAGGAATGAGGTCAGGTAACAAAGCGTTACCTCTCCTGGACCACATAAAGTGGAAATGTATGGACTGCATCAGATGAAAGAAGAAAAGAAAAAAAAAAAGCTGTGGATGGCAGTGAGCATCTTTGATGTATTTCCATTCATTTACAAGAACATATGAAGTTCTGCTTCCCCATGTGCACAGAGAAGAGGTGCATGAAGAGCTTCACTACTTAAAGGCCCCTTCCAATACCTTTCCTTGGGCTTAGACACAACCCACTATGGAAAAGTAATTTGAATTGTAGCTTCCCACTCTAAGCCTTTTGTTTCTCAGCTTGAACTCTCATTCTTCCCTAGTCATTCACCTTCATCCAGCCATGCCCCTTCATCCATCCAGCTGGAAATACCTGAGCAACCCTTTTGTTCTGGGAAGACGCATGGTTTTGCGTTCCAAGTTCAGAATTCACAGTTTATTTCACCTGCCTACTTCCATAAAAGACATTAAAAAACATTTTCAATGAAAACCAGAGTTTTCACTCAACCGCTGCACCAAGAACAAACCCAGACCATAACAACAATAGCCTGTAACAAATATTGATGCTTTGGGTGCAATACTTCCTGACAACATAGAAGACACAGAACGCAACAACTACAGCAAGCGAGAAATCAAGGTCGGAATCCTAAACAGGTGCTCAGATTCCCCAAATATGAGAGGTTCCACATCATTATTACTAACATTTTGGTGACGGTTGATGAGACAAGTTTGTCAATCTTATAACCAGGATAAATCTCTAACAAAAACATAGGTAGGCTAACACACACTAGAGGAAAAGACAGAGAGAGATGTTTGCCTTATTTATTAGGCTGCTAATCACATCTCTCATTACCAGTATCCTTCAGATCTATCACCTTCCAGTAGCAGCTCTAAAGGACAAAGTGTCTTCACAGGCTAATATCTTTCCTGTATTGATCTCAAAAGCACTTAACAGAGCAGGTGGCACAAACTCAGGAATTACAGCTTTTCTAAGCTGAGAACTTCTACTGTAATACCTCAAAACAAACTGCATTTAATATTTTAGACTACAGCACTGAAAAAGACATAATGTAATCCTAGTTAGGGGGCCCCTCTCTATCCAAACTTTCTAACATGAAAAGGGCTAGTGTTTAGTGTTTTCAATATGGTTAGTCTTTCCTCATTATTCTAAGACTTTCCTTCTAAGTATGGTAATTGAAATGAGTATTGGTTCCTCAGTTATATCTGAATTTTAGAATTTGTTCTTTGGGTCTCTTTAAGGAGATGTGTATACAAGATTCTCGTAATAAAAGTGTTGTCAGAGTTGTGCTAGAGCAGAATTGTGTAGCTTTGGAAATTTTGGAGTCTTTTTCCCTCATTTAAACTGACTCATTCCCTCTTGTCCACAAACCCACTTAATTACCAGCTGGATGATAACACAACAGATTCTCTTTTGGCCCAAGTCTTTACAGCTCACTGTTACAGCAAGAGGAATCGCCATAATCTACAGCTAGGTGCTTGCCAAGTTGCTGTTTGTCTCTCTAACCTCCTCCGTAAAACCATCAGATTCTACACCTGGCTGGGATGAAGATCAACCTCCAGCCAGGCAGCTGCTGTCCTAAGCAGCAGCATTAAAATGCCAAACTGCAATGATCTTTTGGGACACGATCACATATTTTCCTGCATGGCCTCACTGCAGGACTGAACTCACCATGTAATCCACCTCTCCCCATCATCGTCACCAATTCTCAGGGGCTTCTTGTAACAACAAGGTAAAGTTTTTTCCCCCACACTTTATATCTCCAAAACCTCCATCAAATCACAAATAGAAATAGACCTCTCTTTCAAAGAGACCTCTCTGCATTAATGGAATAATGCGTAATTCTCTGCATTAATGAAAGCCTCCGGTCTCCTTGCTGTAATAGCGCACATATAAACGCATACTGAAATCTGCTTTCTGTAACACCGAGAACCCTTCTGCGCTCCTGGGGGATGGCACTAGCACCCTCTGCTGTCACACAGCAGCACCAAGGCCAGCTGAAACCCCGCTCACTGTATCCTGTACAGGGAATTTCAGGGACAGCTTTGTACATCCTCCACTAAAGATCCTGAGCCATAAAACCTCACAGTGACATTCTGCCATGAACTCTGCACTTCAAGACAGCTTATTTTGAAAGACAGTGACTATGTCTAGAAATAATCACCCAAAATGAGCTTATTAGATTAGTTATTTGCATTGATCGAACACCTAAAAGCTACACTAGAACGACAGGAAATCAAAGCCATGCTAACAGAGCTACCAACTTCTACAAATGCATCAATAAATCACTGATATTTCAATGTTTATCTTAAAACCCCATCTTCTAAAGTCTTGTGATTACATGAGGCTCAGTTTTGATTTTTTCTCTACATGCTTTTTTTCTCTTGGTTGCAGAGAGAAACTTGAAAACATTGATTTCAGAAATCCAGAAGGCAAGTAAATTTCAGATGTAACACCACATGATTCTCACGTGTTCTTTTTTAAAGCAACCCCAAAATGTTTTACAGCAGCTGACTAGCAATACCAAAACACATTCAAACCGAGTATTTACAAGGCTTCCTACGACCACAAGTGCTAGCTTTCAAGCCAACCCTGCACTGAAAGAAGCAATAACTCCAGAACAAAAGGAGAGCCATCAGCTCTCTGGTGATGTTTTCAACTTTTAAATAGCTAGATTTAGAAAAGTCCATTAGTCTGACCAGCTGTGGTGATCAGTCCTAGGCCACACAAAATCATCTCAAAACAAGATCTATGCAGTATATCCATATATAAAGTCTATATTGACCAAAGACCTCTTTTTATTTTTTCCTTAATGAATGAAGGCCATCTACCACTCTCCTTTTCCCAGGAATTATATCATCATCACTGGCAACAGCATTTAATTGTAAACCAAATACGGGAATGGAATACAAAAGGGGTTTCATCAAGACAAGGATTACAAAAACATATATACATACCAAACATAAAAGACAGAAACAATATTAAGATCAAAAGCAAACACTGGGAAAGAGAGATTATAGTATAATTTGCAGTACTTTGGGTGAAGTATCACAATCCACACTAATAAGAAGAGAAGAGAGCTTGCTGAGTATAGAAATGCACATATTTTACACACGGTCAGTAAGCTTGTGATGGGATGGCAGCTGTATAAAACTTCAGGAATCAAAGCTGAGTGTGTTCATTTACATTACACTCAAAGGTTTCAGAGAAATACAAATGTTTCAGTTCTTTGTAAGAGAAGATATGCTTCCTAAAATAGAGAAAAACAAGTAGTAAAATAGGCATGGATTACCAAGCCAATGTGAAACTCTTACTCTGTCTGGTGTTAGTACAAAATAAACAGCATCTATAGCCTCAGTGAGCCTACTTGGGTGAGTAAGTTTTCACCTATATAGAAATCACAGTCTAGCTCCTAATTAATATTGCTTTCAAATTGCAAGAGCTACATATTAAATTCAGGCCAAGACTGGAAGATTAAAGTCTTGCTTGAGCTGATCTGAAACCAAATTTTTTGTTTTGCAGTTAATCCTATCAATAGATAAAGTTTTCCTTAAAAATACCTACCAACTTCCCAGCTAAAAACTGGGAACTGAACTCCATCAGCCAAGTCAGCCTTCAAATTTTGCACTGACTGTAAACAAAAACTACATCAATGTGCAATGCTGCAAAAACTGAAAAGGACCAGTAAGTGCCACTGCCACGTAAGCCACTAACATAATTTTACAAAGCTTCTTTTTCAAATGTCTGCTTCCTTCAAAGTCAATAGCAAAACTTCTGTCAACTTAAGCAACTGCAAGGCCAGGTCCTGAGAGAATAATCCTTTCCCAGCTGCACATTCTTAGACTGATGTTGAGTTACTGGCTAAAGACTGATGAGGCAAAGAGGAAAGCAGATGCCCCTTTTATCACTAATATTAAATACAACTGACTAAATACACATCCACATGAACATGGAGACTAGAGTGGCATTTGCTGAAAACAAGATGCCACCTTCTAGGTAGCAAATAGTTCCCATCCCCAACACGCTCTTTAAGAGAGACAATTGGCTGAGGAATCTCACAAAAAATAAATCACTATTTGCCATAATTAAAGGACTTTGTTTTTGGTAGAATGACCAAATTATCCCAGATTTCCAAAGGTGTAACCAAAAGCAGAGTATAGGCTAGAGTGTGGTGGTTTTCCAGTGCATGGGAGAGAACAGGTATGTAGCTCTGGGCCATTCCAAGTGGGCATCAATGGGCAAAGCACAAGACCCACAGCGTTGTGACTTCAAACCACCCAAAAGCAAGAATTACTCCAACTCACAATGCTGTTTAGATCTGATAGCTACCACAAAACAGATCCATGAACAATCAGAAGCAAAGTCAGGTTGCCCGTCCCAGAGCATTAGACAAAGAAGTGTGATGACATCAATGCCCATGAGTCATGATGTGTCAGTGCCCAGCCTTATATCTATTTTATAGCATACATTAATTTCTTAGCCAAAGCCACATTGCACAAAATACTGTATGGTCTGTGGAATCTTTAAAAACATGTTTTGCAAGGGAAATGTTTCAAAAGCCTGAAGCATGTCTTCTTAGAACATCACTGTCAGATGTGTAAGGATATAACAAATTGACCAAGTTTTCCTAGTATTTGGTAGTAGGAAATGCTCAGCTTCCTAATACTTGAAATTAAGCCTATGATGGCATTTCTTCATTGTGTATTTACATACAACAGTCTGATCAGAAGTTTTAAGGCTCTTATTTCTCAAAAAAATTGTCACAGTAAAGAAGGGATTAAATGGAGTTAACGCAGCTATTGGCAATACAAAGAAAGATGTTTATGTCATTTGCTATTGTACAATCTGGGGCATTTCACTCCATGCTTTGGCTTTCTTCTTGGCCAGGGATAGCCATGGTGGTTCAGCAGGGCTGCATGGTGTCATTGGCAGGTTAGAGGAGTGTCTTGCTTCCTTTTCAACAGCAGGAATCACAGATGCTTCCTGAGCAATAGGTCCAACTTTACCTGCCAACAACAAGATATCCATCACTCATCAGAAGGCTAGAGAGTTAAAAACTCAGTTTCTGCCAATATTTCCTTCTCTCTAAAGCAATTGTTTTACAGCCCAGAATGTTTGTGACTCAAAAATAAGTCAGAGGAATTATTAAACTGGGTATCGCTAGCACTATCTGGTCCAGCTACAACAATGGCGAGGACTAGCTGTTGCAATGGAAAAATAGATACTAAGCTGTTAGTGAATAATCTGCCCATAAAAGAATCTTCTCCTCAGTCCCAACAGCAAGTGTCTAAGCCCTGATAAATGAAGAAGTTCTTCAAAATTCTTCAAGCGTGTGGAGACTATAGCCCCAGGTATTTTTATAATTCATATTCTTGGCTAACTCATTTCTTAATCTTTTCAAACTCTTAATTTCCATGACAGTGCACAGCAAGGTGTTCCACAGGCTTGTTCTGCTCTGTGAGTGCAAGAGAATCTAGGAATAAGACTCCTGAGTATGCAGGAAAATGGAAACAAAATATCTGCAGGGCAAGGATCACCCCAGGCTTGCTGTGAGGTTAAAAGTAACTGGTATATGTTTTTCAACACTGAGAAGTCTTAAAGATTTTTTTTCAGTCTTCACTGCCAGCACAAATATTGCTCCAGCAATATTACTAAATACCAGGTAGGGATTAAACCAGTGCTTTATGTTCTTGGACTTGTAAGCCAAGAAGGTGGGATTCTGGTGGGGCTAAGTGTTCCTGTTCATGAAGCCTGACACAAGCCTGTCATCCTCACAAAGGATGGAGGAATACAGATAACAATCCCTGTATGGCTTTCAGTTACTATTTAGAAAAGGCCTCTTCCATCCATCTTGTTTGAAAATTTTCAAGATTAATGTCTTCAGACAGACAGCCTGGAATGGGGCTTCACAGAATACAGCTCTGAACAGAGGCAGCTCTCTCATTTCTCAAGACATAGTTCGCAAGTCTTTCAACATCATGCTCTCTCCATCCATTTCAACCCAGGCAGTATCTCATTTCTGTCTGTAAGTCACACTGAGAAAATTCAAATTTTTTCTCATACTTGATTACTCTGTGCATGGCATGTGGCAGGCATGATGAGGCTGCTGTGCTTCAGCACAAGAACAGAGACCACATGGGGACTTGAGCAATGTTAAGTACAAAAAGCTTGAGTTTGCTTGCACTGAAATCAATGGAAAATGTTCATCAGCTCCATCAGTCACAGCCCTGAGCAAAGCCAAAGAAGTTCCCTATCTCCACTCAGGAGGTCTCTGGTCTTTTAAAAATCCTGGCTCATTGGTAGTTCTTGCGGGAGGCAAGCTATAATTAGGAACACTGGAGGAAGTATACTATCCCTTAAAAAAAGGCTGCAGCTCTATATATACAGCAAATTTTTCAGAAGTATCTAAGGTGATGTATGCATTTAAGTGTTACTGAAATTTTGATTTTGGAAATGAATTTTCACATTTTAGGAGACTTCCTTCCTTGTAATAAGCAAAAGTGAGTCTAAAGCCCTTTGCATGCTCCCAACAACACAAGGTAAAACAAAACCCAAAAACAGTAGCTCATGCCTTTTTGAGGGAACATAGGCTTTGGGACAAACCTTACCATACTTAGGGTGAAGTGGGAGAGAGAAGAGGCAAGCTAAGTAATCTTCCCTTTCTTATGATGTGGGCTGCCACGCAGCAGTAACAAAACAGTCACACGCAGTAAAGTAAGGATCTGATTTCTTGGAATTCTATTCCAACTTAGCTGACTTTGAGCTATCCTGGCTCTTGCTGTTGTGTGCAGGATGTATGCATTGCACAGAAAACCTCAACCATCCATGAAGAAAACTGCTAACAGTTAACATAAGCCAAAAAGCATGATCCAAATTAATAACTCCTCTGGATATTAAATCTACATCCTTTCCACGACCAGCATCTTCAACTAGACAAATTGCTGGCTGTGCTAACGGGAACCAAATCAGAGGAGAGTTTACATTTGGGATTCCCAATTTCCTACTCATGCGCTGACAGTGCTGAACATTTCCTAAACAATAGGACATGGTTTTCTGAGCAGTAGAGGAGTAGTGTTTTCCTTAAACATCAGCACTGGTCAGAGCTCTTTGTGATATTCAAGGAGTGGGAGACTAGAATATGCCTATAAATACTGTTGCTGGAGGGGGGAAACAGTCATTGGATGTCAGGAAACTAGGCCAATTCTTGGGAAGACATGATGCAGAAAAATTTGTAATTCTGCTGCAAAGACCACAAGTGGTGTAAGTTCTAGTAAACAAGTAGCAGAGTACTTTGTGGAGTTCTGAATTTTGACTGAAGGCTGCTGGGCTTCCAAGGTTTAGATGATTCAACACACAGAAATCAGTCTGTTTGTGCCAACCTTTCAAAGGAAGACCTTCTAATCTAAGCAAAAATCTTGGCTTGTTTACTTTTCATCTCTCACATTACACCTAAAACCATAAGACAAAGCTGGCCTGTAACAGAATCCTTTTTAAAAACTATTGTATTTTAATCACACACACACACAGTTAGGCTGGCAACTGACATCAAACCCTCTGTGTTGGTGCACATCCTCAGCTGGTCAGCTACCTGTAGTAAGGGAGAAAGCTTATTTTGTAGGACCTGTAGATTCAAAAATGGGTAACAGCTCTATAAACAACTACTACAGGGAGCAGGCACAGAGACATCCCCTAATATCTCTAATACAACAATTCTGGATGCTGGTGGATTATAAGGGGAAAGTGGCCAGGTGCATGCACCCTCCCTAGACAGCATCTCTTGCTGACAGTGTCAGCAACAGGAACCTGGAACAGAAAAGCCACTGCTCTCGCACAGTGGGGCATTTCTTATCTTCTTAGGCAGTATCTGAAATCAATAGCTTTCAGCTAGCACAATATGCTTTTACAGCTGAAGAACTGGCTTATCTATATCTAGCTGGATCATGCCTCTGAGGTTTGGCACCACACTGAGTAAGCAGGGAGGGATAAGCTGCAGCCCAGCAGTAGCCTTGGAAGAGGTATGTGAGTCACGACGTCTGAGTCACACTCTTCCCCTGCATCTTTCTCATAGAGAATCACAGCTAACAGGGCAGGAGAGGGGCCACCGAGCCTTTGTGTTCACCTGAGGGTGGAACTGACTCTACCTAAATTATTCTTGATACATGTTTATCTATTAAACACATCCAGCAATGGAAGCTGCACACACTCTGTAAGCAACCTATGCTATTCTGCACTTCACCAATCTTTTTATTAGAATTTCCTAATGTCTAAGCTAAACCTCCTCTGATGCATTTTAAGCTTATACAGGGCATAAAGACTAGTCTTGTCCTCTGCAGCAAATTAAGTTGTCTTCTCTAGACTAAACAACTCCACTCCAATCAGTATTTCCTGGCTGACTGGAGATCTAGAAGACCTGACCTTTTTTGCTGCTCTCTTCTGGACACTCTCCAACTTCAACTGCTATTCTTTAGTACTGACCTTTGCCAGTAATAAATCACCATACTGTTTATATGCCATTCCATGAACCGGCAGTGGAGATAAAAGTTCCTCACTTGCTTTCTCTGCTGAGTGAGCAAGCCGATACATTGACTTATACGCAAACTATAGTCTAAACAGGCCTTACATAAAGTCTGCTGTTTATCAAAAAGGTAGATGTCTCTCCCCATTACCTGCCACCCATACCACTTACTGGTGTAAACTGTAGCCACTATGTAAAGATGTAAAGAAAGAGAATACCTGCAGCAGCAGACACACTGGTCTTCATTTGCATTTTCTTGTCCTGAGAGCTCAAGCTGGAAGGCATATTCTTCTTCAGTATGTTCTCACTAGCACAGATCCCTTGCTACAAAACGAGGAGAGGAGAGAAGGAAAGAATGCAACTAAGAAACCTGCTAGCCACTGGCACTCATAAAGCTCACCCTGGCAACACCTCTAAGCCTGACTGTGGAAATGCAGCAAAAGCCAGACAAGGATGGTTGGGGACATCCTGTGGGAGGGAGGGAGAAGGCAAGAAGGAAGACAGCTGCTGCAAATGCAGGGTTACTTCACATGCAGGCAAGTTACCCTCCCTCTTATGGATGGGGAATTGAAGAACTTGTCCAAGCTGCACAAGAAACTTGTGCAAGAGTCAGTGGAAAAGCCAAATGTTCAGTATGCAGTCTCCAGAGCAGGACAGTGAATGCGGCCTGTAGGTAAATAACAGTGAGGAAGCTAGTGCAACTCAAAGCAGCTCTTGGGCTACAGAAATACATTCTGGGCAATGGGCAAGCTCTGAAAAAGTTCAGGCTTGAGTAGTGCAAAGGGACATATAGGAGGATCCAGCTCTAAAACTAATCACTGTGACAGTATAGTCACACGTGTTTGCTCACATGCACCAGTTGTCTGTCTCAATACGTTTTAGAGGCTAGTCCTGAAAATCTCTCTTTGAGTAGTGCTCACAACGTGCCTCCCAAGAAGATGATACTGAACAGTTTGCAAAGGTAGCCATGCAATCTGGTGCAGGATTCACACCCATAGAACGTTACTTGGTACTCTACCTCCTCTTGATCCACTTTGGTCAAAGCTTTGTCTTCAGCTTTATGTTCTTTGGCAAGAGGGTGGTCCTGGAAACCCTTTTGTTTTAGTTTTGCCATGGAGACCCAAGCTGGTTCAGAGGAAGCAGTTTCCAAATGCAGAGAGGAGACTTTTTCTACAAAAGAAGCATTTTTGAAGTAAAGAAGGGATTTAGGTCAAGTCAGCCTAAAGCTAGTGTTTTGTGTTTTAAATCCTTCAGCATCTGTAATACCCTTTGAACACTGGGGAGATAAAATTACCTTCCCTGATGATTTTGTCCTTGGCAGTAACTGTTTTTCTATTTATTCTGGAGTTTTTGACCTGACTCTGCTTCCGTTTAAGTCAATGGCAGAACTCCCACTGAGATCATTGTGAACCGGATTTTGCCTTTGAAACAACATCCTTACGTTGCAGATTAAATGAGCATGATAACCATTATTTTTTCATGTAGGCAGTAAAATACAGGCTGCTTTTTCACTTTTTAAATATTTTAAATTAAGTGATTGTAGAAAAAAAATAATCACACCTAATGCAACTCCTATTTAAGGTTTGAGCTGCTGCAATCTGGAAACTTAACTACAAAACAGCAGCAAGTTTTAAAAAGCCGTGTTAATATTCCAACTATATGCACAAGTAGGTTGTACCAGAAATGTTTCAGAGGCCCTTAAGCTATTACTCTGTTGTTATTCTTGCTGGAACACACCCCTTGTTAAGATAAACCAAGAATTCTCTTGACTGGCCAAATCATCAAGCCAATTAAATTATGGTGCTGATGAACTCAAGGCTGAATTCGATCCTCGTCAAGAGGATTTTTATCTTTTGTTTGCCACTCTGCCAAGGTTCTTACACAACCACTGTTTTCTACAATGTTTAGATAAAAATACAGCATGAATACCTGAAGGTTTATGACCATTTTGCTTCTTGGCCACTTCTTCTGTTCTTGTCTTGGGAGAATTTTTGTCTTGTAGGAGATCTGTTTTTTTAACAAATGATTTTGTGCTGACAGGAAGGCCTGGAGGTGGCTTCCCGGTGCCCACCGATTTCTGATCCTCCTTGACTGAAGCAGAAGAAGCAGTGGGAACAGCAGAGGGGATCAGCTTTGGAGACTCAGCACGGCTTTCATTCTGGTATTTTAGTAAAGAAGATGTTCTCCTTAGTCTGACCCCAAACGGGTTTTCAACATTTTGTGCTTCATGGTCAGCCCACTCCATAGAAGAATTCAAATGCAAATCACTGTCCCTACAATCTCGATCAAATCTATCTGAGTTGGTTTTTGCTGATTCCTGCGTGACTGCATCAAAATGTGTGTGTTCTTTTGTCATTCCTTCAAACAATTCTGGTCTTATAGGGGACGTTGGGGAACTTCTGGTATAGGAATCTTCCTTTGAATTTGAACCCCCTGAGAGAGATCTTTGCCATGCTGGTGCAATGGTAAATCTGACTGGTTTAGCAGAAGCAGTCTTCAGTGGACTTTTTACATTTACATCTGAAGATTGGCCATCTTCCACTGTTTTTCTGTGAGAAGCTGTACTGCTTATGTGGTACTCCTTACTGTCATCATTGGAAGAGATATTACTCTTCAAGCCAGCCAAACTTGAAGAGGCAAGACATCCAATGGAAAGTCTTTCAGAATTGTATGATGTGTTGGCCTGTTGACTGCGTTGGTTACCCTTCGAAACAGAAACAGTTTCTGCTTTAAGACATACTTCCAATTTACTGGGAGGTAGCATGCAACCTGCTTCCAAGACCAATGCAGCAGTGTCTATTTTTTTTTCTGCATTGCCTTTGGATGACTGAAATTCTGTTATTGCACAAGTTTCTTTGTCATTTCTTGTTACTGAACTGTTTTCAGCCTTCAAAACAGCCACTGTCTTGATGTCAGAAGACGACTCTGAATTGGCTACCACAACCTGTGAAGTGCTTGGTGCAGCATCTGAGACAGCGTGGTTGGAATGATTCTCAGTAGTACCCAAGCAGGCTTCTACTTTGCCAGTAAACAGTGGATCCCCCTTTTCCTGGTCCTTGATGTTTGGGTCCACAGAATTTACTGAGGACCTTTGTGCAACACCTGCCAATATATTTATGCCCTCTGTTTCCACACCATTGCTAAACAAGTCAGCTGCTAGTATGTCTGGAAACACAACAGCTTCTCCTTCAATTTGTTGCAATTTTGGAAGTGCAGATACTTCTGTATTGGTATTTTGCTGATGTAATTTCAATTCATCAGCAGATTCATCTGAACAGCATGACACTTTTGCACTGTGGTGTTCCTCCAGGTTCACTGGAGAAGGCTCAGGTCTCAGAAGGGGTGCAGCTGCTTTATAGTGATGGTCCCTGTCTGAAAGGCATGCATCCTCTTGCAGCAAAGCACAAGAATCTTCTGCCACAAGTGTGGAATCACAAGAGTCACAGACAGCATCAGTGGGACTTTTTATACCTGGCATCTCCTTAGAACTGCCTCCCTTTGCACAATATCCCACCTGGGCTGATAATCCTATATTAAACAGAGGAGAAGAGTGCGCACTTAAGGGTTACAATTCAAGCACCATCTGTATCAGTAATTCATTCCAGATAGTGCAGTCATTTAGCATGAGTTCCCCATGTCTGGGCACCATTGCCTAGAGCTCTCAAAAGTGTATGTAGAAATCAGTTGTCCAACTGAGGAGACTAATAAAGTTTTTAGTTTGAACATATCTAATCCCAGGAATGACTGAAAGTTGTTCTCTGCTTAAGGTGTACCAAATCAGTTGCTGTTTAGTTCTTTTCGGTGCATGCGCCTAGTTGTAACCCTACTAGCCAGGTTTCCCTAGACATTTTTTCATGTGTATGCCTAGAATGTCTGAATGATCTGGAGGATTTTCTGTATTTACGCAGAACATCTCAGCATCAGGTAGCTTTGCTTCCTGCAGCTCCAGCAGGGCTGCTGAAAATGTGGATAGTTTAGATGTGTCTGCATACACAGTAACTCTGATGTGTGACAGCATCAGGTCCCGAGTCTGCCCTGACAACAAAGTGCCAACATTCCCACTACACTATAGCATTACCATTAGCCAGTGCATTTGTAATGCAGTGCTAAAGAGAAAAGTCTTCAGTGCTGTTTTGGAGAAATTTCATTTGTTATTACAATTAATACAATTACAATTGTGTTACCACTGGCAATTAGCTATTATTCAAATTATAAGGGGGGACGTGGCAAAGGAATATCTAGTAAACACAAGCCAACTAAAGTCACCTTATACACATAGCAGATATAACACTGAGGTTAAGGTTTTTCAGAGTTTCAAGGAACTCGGATCCCCCCAGTCAATGAGATCTAGCCAACTGTGTAGCACAGGTACTTCTGAACATGGTACTTTCACCTCATATATTTTTTAATACTGCCCTCAAAGTTCACCATTTCAGCACCACTGTATTGAGTGGAGTACAGGACTTTTTCCATCATAACACTTTAGCAGCCAGGATTGGTTTTATGATATAAAACCAAAAGATGCCTAGTCTGAAAGAACTTACAATTCAAATAGGTCCTGTCAGCCTTATGTAGAAGAGTTCAAGCACCCAAAGTAGCAAAAAATAAGTCCTCATTACCTTCCCAATCACTTTTATGCTGGTCACTCTCAAGTAATTCTGTTGAATTTCCCTTCTCTTCTGGAGTTGCAGGAAGACATGTTTCATTTTCCAGCTGTTCCACCTAATGAGGTGCAGTAAGATCTTTTAATTAAAGAATAATGCACAAAAATTGTATTTTATACACAGACATGTATATCAATACTCAAAACATAGTCACAAAACCCTCATCCTGTAATTTACCAACACTGTGGGTAATGTACTATTCCAGTTAAAAACCTAGAAATCATTCATCTTTAAAATGTCAAAGGCAGCCCATTGATCTCTCTTGAATCTGAAACATTCTGGGATTGACATATTCTGAGTGAACAAGTATGTTTTTAAGACATGGCTTGGTATAGAAGAGACCAAGCCAGAGACATTATCATCAATTCTGATATCGCTGACTGACACTCCACAATTAGCTTCTCTCCTTCAGCACTGTAGTTGTACCAGCTGCAGCACAAAGAATATCCAGCAAAGATGCTGTAGGGCCCAAGTTTCCAAGAAAACCTCATTCTGTATTACACTCATTCTGTGTTACTCTTTATTTCTGCCACACTCCAGCTCAACAACCTTTTCTATCTGGTGAACTTCAGCTTCACAATGTGTTTCCTAGAAGGCAGGATGAGAAGCATCTCATCCTAATTTCCCACATGCAGAGCCACATGCCTTCCCAAAGTCCTTCAGTCTTTCCTCTGACATATGAAGAATTAAGTTAAATCTAATCTGAAATTGTAGAAATAGACTTAGGCTTCTTTAAAACTGAAAACTAGCTTTTCAAATAACAGGAATGTTTTTACAAACAAAGTGTAACCCACAACTTCTTTGGCTAAATAATGAAAAAACAAAGTTGCACTTGTCTTCAGCTCCCATGATACTGAAGTCTCCCAAGTCTTTTTTGATTGGTTGGTTGGTGGAAAATAGGTGGTTTCCCTTCTTCCAATGGAAAAAAAAAAAAGTATAGGAGTGTGGATAAGAGAGGAAAAAAAAATTTAAAAAAACTTAAAATAATAAATAAAAATTCATATCCATTCCTTTCTGTGAGGTGATTCTTTTCCAGAAAACACTCACCTGGGGTGTTTGCTGATTCTTGCTGGTAAAGCCTTTTTGTTTCCGGGGGTTTATGGCAATCCTGTGCCTGGCTGCTGAGGTGTCCAGGCAGCCAAGGGGACTGGCAGGGATGGTGAAGTCAATGGGAAGGATGCTGCTGCCTCGTGAGCCAGGGGCCCCCGGAGTGGCAGAGGATGAAGGACTGATAGGCCTGGAGGAAGCTCCAGAAGGTATCTGTAAAACACAAACACATCACTATACATTTTGCTTGGCTTCCCCACATCTCTCAAACAATTCCTTTGCTAGCTCATTCCATTTCGGAAGCCTGAAATGGCTGTATGTTTGGACATAAATCCTCACTTTAAAACGCATGTCTAATGTCGTCTCTGCGTAGAGATTACTCGGTTCTGTGTGTTCAGCTGTATGTTACACAAAAGTGAGAAATACCTGTCTCTCCCTGTCCCACAGTAAGAGCCTCAGCTTGTCCTCTTCCCAGTTACCTGAAAAACCATTTGCAATATATGTATGCACCAGCAGGAGACACTGGTGCAGTTTTTATAGCTGCCTTTTCATCCCAATAATGTGACACATTGCAGGAATATGTTATTAAAAAGCCACAAAAGTAGCATGGATGCTTGCTCCTCATTATCCCTATTTCTAAGAAAGTTACCATAGCCACTTTGCTCTTTTAATATCCACTCTCCCAGGAAAATCAAATGCTTCCCTCCAACAAGTATCCCAGAACCATCTTTCAGACAGTGATGTGGATCTCACCCTCGCAGGAATGCTGTTCTGGGGAACTAAACAGCAGTAACCTTAGATTATGCTATCAAAATAAAGGGTTTACATAAGTGTTTGTAGAGAAACCCCTAAACGTGCAGTTTGACTGGTTTTGTTACTGTTTTGAAACGTAGACCAGACTTTCTGGAACACTTACAAAATTTCACAGACATGCCAAACAAGCTTCATTCAGTATAACATATCTGCTATTTTGGCTTCAGCCATAAAGCTAGGTGAAACACAGCCATTTAACTGTGCATGTCATTCAGATTTTCGTTTTGTTTAAGCTTAGGATATAATACAGCATTGAAAAAATGTGTGCTGATGAAATTTTAAAGATAATGAAAGCATCTTCCCATCTGATCTACAAAAATTGTCTAGGTACATTGCTTTGTGTTTAAGATAGCTAAAATCAATTTACTTATTCTCCATTGAATTTTTTTAGTTCCTAGATCTGAAATAAACCACAACAGAATGTGGTATGACAGATACAGACTCTTCTCATGAAACATTTACACATTGTGAAAGAGAGAAGGAAGAACACATCTAGTAAATAAGCTAACTATTGTTATAATTCGACAAGAGTAATGATAAAACTGTCAGGATCACTAGAACTTACAAAAATAGTAACATTGTTACTCATTTCTACATACAAGTTCTTCTGCCTTTCAATTATAAAATTACAGTTGTGCTTATTTAATATAAAAACACCTGAAGCTAGTATCTGAGCTACTGCTGTACATAAATGGCAAATTCTCTACCCCACTGAAGGTTCAGGGTATTTTTTTCTCTTGAGCACTGACAGTTGGTATCTTCTCTCAAAGACAGTGGAGCAGACACAAGATTTCCACATCAGTGTTTAAGTGTAAGATAAATTTGGTGTTTGTTGGTTATTAGGCAGATGCAGGAGCCTGCACAAGGAGAACACTGCAGCCAGGAGGCCCATTTCCTAAAAAGCGCTTGTGCCAAAACACTGTCCTCAGCCCCACAAGCTGAGACCCTGTTTTGCTTTTAATCAGTCTGGGTTGACGATGCCAACAAGGAAGTTAGATTTCCGTAAAGGCTATCTGGCAAAGGCAGGGTAATGTGGGTTAATGTCTGTGAAGTCACTTGCTGCTTGCTTTGAGTGATAGCCTCACATTTAGCTTTAGATTAGTCAGAAAGTGGGTATTTATAAGTGTGGAGGGCACTGAGAAGTTACACGGGTGACACATCAGGATTTCGCACAGAGGTGACAGAAGCATGAAGCTCTTGGAAATCCCAGTGAAGCAGCACAGGGCAAAGAAATGAAGTAACTATCATCTGCAGCAAGATCAATACAATAGTAAAATGTAAACCACTACACTGTATGTAACTTCAGATTGCTTAGGCTCAAATCCTCTTTTTCCTTTACTAAATATACAACACTGTTAAATGGAATAGTTGGTGTAGATTTCTTGGTACTTTTCACAATTGTCCTCATCTTTGGGATGAGGTTATTCGGTTTAATAACTTGTGTTCTGCTAGCTCAAATCCTGGTATTACATAAATAGTTTCAAAAGTTACTGATAAAAATGATGATTATTTATGAAAAGTTTTTTTATTTTAGGCAAACACTGGCAAGATTTCTGCTAAGCCAAACTGCTGACTAAGAAAAATATTTGGGTAAAGGAACATACATGGTCCTATAGAGAAGCTAGCCAGATTCCTAGTGAGTTGGGGAGAAAAAGGAAGAGCCTTTAAGTGGGGAATTCTGTGCAATAAGAGAGAAAAAAAATTCTCCTGTCCCTGTCTTTCCTTCTCATAGGAGATGAGGTTGTAAGACTGAAAGAGCTTAAAGACTTCAGAACTGCATGGAAAAGGGCTTTTTGCATTGTAAGGAAAAAACAGTATGCAGGCTTACAAAATGGAGCATTTTAGTCCAAATATAAAATGGGAGATATGTTAATAAAATGTACATTGAAGTAAAGATAAAATATATACAAGAAGTTGTTAAAAATAATGACAATCCAAGTTACCTAGATCACTTGGGCCTCTAAAGCTGTGTAACTAGTAGTGTGCTACGAGGGGGGAGACATTGCTTTATCTTTCTGTCCCCAAAGCAAAAGATCTAGAAATGACTGAGCAGGAGAGTGTCTGATCTCAACCACAGACAGGGAAGTTTAGCTGGTCTTGCCCAAAGATTGCTCTCTTCCTTCTCAAAGGCTGGCCCAAGAGAGAGTGAAAGGGAAAGCTTACTTACCAGTAGTGTTGGCACTAACTGTTTGACCCTCAAGATACTGCTCTGGCTCCTTAAGGCCCTCTTCATCAGGAAGGAATCTTCTAAGAACCCTGCTACCTCCTCTTTACTTGTGGACTATTCTCAGCTTCACAGAGGCTTAAATTGTGTTCTCTCTGGTAAGCTTCTCAAACAGGGATTCTGTATGGAGGACTGCAAAGGTTGGGCCAAAATAGCCCATAGCTGTTCTGGACCCATAACTATTCCTCTTCTCAGCTAAATGGCAGATTACGTTGCTTATACAATTGCAAGGGCTATCCCATGAATCGAATCAGTTCTGTTGGAGTGGTGGCTGCCTCTGTCACTGGCATTTGAAGACCCCATTGCCATAACTGTGGTCTGCGTGGTCTTTCAGACATTATATTAACACTGGAGAAAGGCAATATAAGCAAACCTTGCAGGCCTGTCTTGAAAGCGTGAGATGGGCAGGAATTCAACTCAGCTTCAAGCAGCAGGGTCAGTCAAGGTAAAGGTCCCCTAGGCTCCTCTCTAAAAACATGACCTCCATAAATTTTTCCAAGCTGGTCAAGGAATAGACTGGGTTGGTCTGACAGCAGAACCTGCTGCTTCTGATGGTCACTTATCATCCAAAGAAAACTGCAAATTAACACAGACCTTTTCCTGCGGAATACCTGGCATCAGAAAGGGCCGATCCCACAATTATTTCCCATGATAAGAGAGATGCAGGGCATTGCTCACAAGCCACTGCTGACAGCCAGGTTTTATTAAGCTGTTACTGCTGTTAGGTATTGCGGCCCTGGGACATGGAATTGGAATTGAAGTGCTTTGCCTTGTCCAATTTTCAGTTGTGTAACTTTACAGATTCATACTGTGTCACAGAGCTGACTGCTGTTCACACAAACCACTTACCAGTAGATTTCCACCTCTCTTTATTTGGTTCTTATTCAAAACTCTGAGAGGTACATATTCAGTATCATTTGCATCACTCTGGACTGTTTATGAATTGTTTGCTAGGATACATGATATCCAGAATAGATTAAAAGAAAAAAAAAAAAGATTATTGTACTGGCTCCATACAGGCACCACACATGCTGTCTCAGGGAACTTTATTAGCAGGAAAAGTAGCTATTTACCTGTTCATCTTCACTGTCTGTCCCGCCTAAACTCAAAGAGCTATGACGTTGAACAGGGTTGGAAGACTGTGGGATAAAATAAGGAAAAGGGTAAGTCAAGGGAAGTATCACATTGAATTATCTGGGACTGGATATCCAGTGCTAATTATGAGAAAACACAAGAGGAAAGATAAAGGAAGGGTCACTGTGTCCCTGCCTCACAGAGTAGGTTTCATTTGTTCACTGGGGATCAAACATAAAGTAGGGGAGCTTTATCGTGCTAGGAGACATGCCATGAAGGTTGACCACATGAGGCAATAAATTTTATAAAGTTATTTTGGCTTATTGTTTTAAGATCTTCGAATTTACAAATGCTCACATGCTCACTCAAGTCCAAAATCATGCATCTGTTGTGAGAAGGCAATTCCTAAGAAAGAAGATAACCCAAACCCCCCTCTAAGTCCCACCAGGACCTGTTCTCCTCAAACTCATAGGATTGTCTCTTTCCTGTCAATTTAACTAATATTGCCCTGGTTTTGAGCTATTTCATTCCAAACCCAGTAATTGTTTAAGATTCTCTTGCAGTCCCCATTATTTCTGTTTTCCTCACTGGCTTTAACACACCCAAAAACATCTTCCCCTTTCACGGGTGCAGGAAACTGCCAATCTCTGCAGCTCTTTGAAGCTGGAAGACATGGGAAGTTCATCTGTGCAGTGTAAGTACCTCAGCTTGTTCTCAGACTGGAAGCGGAACAGTCACAGTAACACAACAATCACCCGTGAATAATTGACTTATGTTTTCTGCCATACGGACCTGCCAGGAGAGACTGCCTTGCCCAAAGGCACTGAGAGTTGCCATATCAACTGAATTTCTCTCCTCTTTCCCTAATGATATAGGTCACAACTGCCCCAGCACTGGTCTACATAAAAGCATAGAAAATTGTACTCAGAAGGGGTATTTGTAAGGCCACTTCCTAGGCACCCCTCACAATTACAAGTCCACGATCCACCTAGGTAATTTGTTCTAGTTCTGACTGATCTGTTCCATCAGACTTTATCACAAGCAAGCAAAAAGGTCTTCCCCTTCTCCAAGCAGATTTTACTTTTTCTGTACAGGTGGTCACTAAAGTGACATAACAATTATACCTTGCTTGGTGAATCTGTCAGAACTTCATGAAGGGTTGAAATTTCAGGAGGGCTCCTAGGTAAACCGTCATCTTCAGAAACAGCACCTGCATCTTCCAGTTTCTTCCCAGTTATAACAAGAGGAGGCGAACCAAGTCTGATGTTCTGCTGCAACTGAAGCTGTCATTGAAAAGAAATTTAGAATATAGACTTTCAATGGCATTATTTATAGGGGACATTTTGGACACTTTTACCCCAGTTGCTCCCAACAGGCATGCAGAATCTCTTAGTTAACAGAAATATTTGAAGAAACAGACCATTTACAGAAAAGAGCCACTAATAAAATTTTATTTAGTTACATTCATCAAGGACCCATCATTAGAACTAGCTTTGGTACAAAATTAAAATCAAAATCAGTTTTATTCAGTAAGTTACCACAGACAGAAATGTCACCATTCCAGGAAACTTAAGGCAGTTTAATTTAGGATTAAATTTAAAACTTTAAAAAGTCTAGATTTAAGTATTCTTTAAATAATTACATGTATCCAGATGTCCCAAATAGTCATACAAAGTATTGTCAGTCAGCAGTTCCCAACCCCAGGTTTATGTGGTCAGCTTTCCTTCACAAAGCCCTTCCGAATATTGAGAGCTTGTCACCACCCTCTGCCGCACAAGTAGCTGAGTCCCACTTTTTATACAAAGAAAATTTAATTCAGTTTCTGGTCCCCCCTAATGAATTGCTTGTTAATTTTCCCCAGCATCACATCCTGGTCCTGTCTACAGCAGGAACAATAACGGCAGCCAGGAACAACTTTGTTTGTAAAGGAGTATGGTGATTCTTTTCCAAGATTGCACAAAAGAATGCTCTGGCAGGCCCTGACCCTAGAAAAATAAAACAAAGTCTGCAACCTCACAAGCAGCCAGATGTTCCCTCAAACTAAAAAAGTTCAGATCTCAGGAAACACCACTACTAAAATTCTTGGCTTAAGTCTGTTGGCTATGTCAAAGCTGGAATAGAAACAAGCCTGAACAGAAACTCTGTCCTTCAACTAAAAACGTCTCAACTGAATATTCCCAAGAAAAATATGCAGACCTGGGTTTTTTTCTGTTTCTTTGCTTATTAAACCAGATTGGGAAATTCTAGGCCTAATTCTGTGCTCTTCTGCAAGCTATGCATTCATTTATATCTCTGTAAAATAGATCTAAATAGCTGCCATTCTTATTCAGCAAGATTCACTTGGAATGTAATTTCTACAGATCTAACAGCCACACAGGGTAGCACAATGTCACCCTTTAATCCACCAGTCCCCCAGTTCAAACAGCTTTCTTGCCCTTTTACCCACAACAATCCAAGAAGTATCACCAATACGATCTGCAGAAGCAGGACTGACGACAAACTGCACAAAGATTGCAATATATGGGCAAAACAAGACATACAACATACTTGTGCACTTCATGGGAAGGAAAATACAGGAAGTCAATTTTGTTTTTCTCTCTTTTCACAACTTCCCATCTTTGATTTATTAAATTTATTACATGCAGACAGCAAAGTGTTGTGGGGGAAACTCTGAATTTACAGTCTGTCTTCTACTGGTAGAAGTTAATTTACATTGCTAAGAAAATAACAGCTTTTATTAGTGCTTGGCTTTTATTCTGACAAGAGTGAAGCTCACAGAAAAAGGCAGTCTTTTATGGCTATAAAAATAGTACTGGCAGTATTACGTTACCATGCAGGATGATGGATGGATGAAGAAAGGCCACAGTGGACTGGAGATCGCATGAAAAGAGCTTTTTTCCCCAACAAAGGTCTGTCATATATAAACATGATCTCTCCTGCTACTCCTATTATTATACAAAAAATACCCTGAATTGAAGCTTAGCCTATTTTGCAGTCTTATGGAGGAACAAGTCCCTTTGTGCATCTTCTATTACTTAACATGTGATGCAATTGTGTTTTGCAACACAAAGTTCACACTGAGCAGAGGAAGAATTTCAATGGCCTTTGGCTGCCTTATCAACAGTTTGTTTTCAGTCTCTGGAAAAAACTTAAAATTTTGTCTCAGTGCTCTGAGCTGGGCAGTTATTTAAATGCAATTAATACAACCAACAGTTGATAATGGAGCTGTCAAGGAGGGTTCAGTATGTGCCTTGGAAGAAGGAAATGACCTAGCAGAATACAGTATCCTTTGCTGGCAGAGATCAGTAGAATAATGACATAAATAAAGCTGTCACTAAGAGTGTCCTGACATATCCATCATCCCACACACTTACACAGCCACTGGTGCTAGCATGTACAGTGAAAACATCATAGTCAGAATTTCCAGAAGGAATAACATATAAATAATATATAAAGAATAACAGTGTAAGGGACGTGCTACAGTAGAAATAAATGGCCTTAACCCAAAAGCAGTAGCTATGAAGTAAAGAATAGAAATCCCATTGGAAGAGGACATGCTCATTAAGGAAAGTTTCCAAGAGTCCATGAACTGGATTCATGTCACTCACACACTATGAGACCCGGGCAAGGCTTAAAGCACCAGAACTGCTCAGAGATCCAAAGAGCAGCTTCCAAGAGGCAGAACAGATCCAAAAGTAGTAAATCTCGCTTTGGACACTTTAGTCAACAAAGTCTTAAAGCACACAGCAGAGGAATCAAGCAACAGAGTTTCCTAGGAGACAGCTAATACAAAGCAGCACCGTGAATGAGGGGAAGATGTTCTCACCTGCAAAGTTTTCACTCTTCCAGGTATGTTTTCCTGAGAGAACGTGTCACCTGCCGCAATTCCTGGTGCAGACTCAAAAATGAAGACACTGTCATGGGACAAGGCTTTGTTTCCCATGCTTCCTTTGGGGCTGGGAAGGAAGGAAGAGTCGTCAGTGCACTGGGTTCAGACCTCCAACACTTCCCTGCACTACTTTGCCAAGGCAGAGGGATCATAAACAGCCCAGGGTAGGATGCATCTCGCTTAACTTCAGATTTCTGCATGTTAGCTGTCTAAAGTAGTCACTGCTATCTCCTTTTATACTCAGAAGCAAGGAAGAAACACTTTTGAGGATGCTGATCAAATGCAGGTGTCTCTTTTCAGATGTACTCAGCATCTGCATTGAACACACAGGCCAATCTCTGTGGACTAGAGAGGGAGTCCAAGGTGATTAGGTCAGATGCTGAGATTTAATTGGATGCATGCCACCCTGAGAGATATCTACAGTGCCGAGGAGGGCGACAGGAGTCCCCTGACCTCCTTTGGTGGGAATGTGGCTAGCACGAGACATTCAGGATACAACCTTTGCAGCCTAGTGTGTATCATACCTGCCAAAGATTGTGGATTATTTTTCCCCTTCTTGCAAATGCAGGCAAAAAATGTAATTCCACTATATTAACAAAGTTGATTCAAACCCTCTCAGGTCCAGCAATAAACAGTTCTGTTCACCTGTATCATGAACATCGCCAGATCCCAAGCATATTAAAAAATGTAGACAAGACAAGTGTCCGTGGCCACAGTTAAATACCTATCCACGGCCAAGTTAAAGTACCTAGATGAGATACTCCTGCCCTGCTTCTGTGCTTACTGGGTGTTCAGCCCAGTGAAGCACTGATGAGTTCCCACAAGAGCTGTTAACTGAGTTGTAATCAACTGAAATTGATTGGGGTTGGGCTATTAGGTTGTGCAGGGCACATTTTGCACTTGAGTGGCACAACAAGGAAGGCTCCAAACCTTTTATTCACCAAGTTCCACCAGCATAAGCAGGCACTGTCTGTATATTACTTTGTCAAAAAGACCACGAGGATGCCCTCCACCAGGATTTCATTCTAGCACTTAACTGGAAAACAACAGAGAATACTCATGTTGTTGGCTGTCAGCCTTGTAACCCACAAGTTACAAGGATTCCTTGGCTCAGCTGCAGTGCAGGCAATGCTCATTGCCTCTGCAAGTTTAACTCTGGGTAACAGGGGATGATTAAGAACAGAAATCTGACAAGGAAAATCCAGTAAGCCTAACACTCTTCTGCAAGGAAATCAAACAGAAAAGGTGTCCACTATTTGCCTAACCCAAAATTCTCTCTTTATTTAGAAGCCCTGAAGGACTGTGAACTTTCATAAAGTAAATACATCATGTAAAAAGTTCCAAATAAATTACTCTTTTTTAATCTCCTGCATCTCCCTTCTCTACATCTCCAGAGACAACATCTTCTTTGTTGGCTTGACTAACCCTCCTGTTGCCCCAGAGGTGTAGTCAATCAGTATACAGTTATGCCAAGTCTCACAGTAGGGCAAAATAATTTTGCTCTATGTTTATCTTGTGTCGAAGACAATCTGAGCTCTTTCTCTCACAGCACAGGTCAGAGTTCATGCTTCCTCCCATTATAAGTAATAGTTAATGTCTGTGTTAAGTTTACAGGACAGCAGTTCTCCACAGAAATAAGGCCCGTGACTTATTTCATCATTAGAGTGAATGAAGCCATCCCATCTTTTTGCGTGTTTGATTTTAGCATCCTTTTGAACATGAAAGACACTCTACATGGGCAAGACATAATTTTACTGCATTCAGAAAGACAGTGTTATGCAAATTTTATTTACTGTAATGTATATTCATTACTAGTTGGCATATTTTATTTACTGCAAAGAATGCATGTGCATTAGGATGTATTAACCTTTTTAATTGGGGATTTCCTCACTTCCTTTACTTGGAATTCTTTAGCATTAAGACCTGAGGTTTCCTTGTTCTTCAGACTGCCAGTACAAGATCTGTTTCTTTCTTTCTCTGCATATGTATCATATGTGTTTGCAAGAGAATTACTGTATTTTCTTCTATTTGCAGTCACAAAAAGAGCATTGGATTAAATATAGAATTAACTGCAGCTTTGGTACAGATGAGTCTCTTATGCGCAAATATACATTCATTTGTAATTCCAGGCAGTGTATTTATATTTGCACTGAAGCTAAAGATGCACTGTTAGCTAAACCCCCAGATGTTTTAGCCACTGTACCTCCACACTGATTTCCCTAGACAGATGCTCAATTCATTCATGTGTAGCAACACTTGAGCCACCATGACTGAGGAAATGATGGGACTCTACAGCCAGCAATAAAGCCACTCCTAAGTCATCATGGCCTGCACTATCTTCCACTTATTGTTGCAACCCCACTCCTTTTATTAGTGTTTGAGGTAGAGGAAAGAAAGGTGACACACTTCCTTCAGGCAGCCACTGCCTCAAAAACAACTGCAGCCTGCCAAAGGAGTGAGTGTTCCTTACAAAGACCGGGACAATTTTACATGTTGCCCCAGCAGTTTTTCCTGCTCAGAGCTTTTTAACTGGAAGAAGACTATTTGGGACCCAATTTTCCTCTCTGTAAGGTCTTCTATCCTTCTGATAATACAGAAAAGATGTTGTCCATGGCACATGCTTTAACTTTGCCATCAAGGTTTTTCCATTTCCATTCAAAACTCGTACCTCTCGGAAGATAAAGAGGCAGTGGCACATAATGCTCCCTTCCCCTTCACAGATGCCCAATTCCATTGATTCCCTACAGCACCTTGACATCTGGGCACATCCCCTTGGCTGTTACAGGAAGCATTTGGCACATCTGGGGGTTTGGTCTCTGGTTAGTATTCAGAAAAGTTAAATTTTAGAAATATTACATGGTTAAAAAAAAAAAGTGGGGGGGGAGAAAACCAGTGCTTCTGCCTCAAGAACAAACAAACAGCAGCATTGTTCTAGGATTGGTTTTGATATTCTGCATGCCAGAAATTACAAAGCTCAGGGTCCTGCTATAAACCCTTCACAAGTTTTATTCCCACTGGCTTTCAGGATCAGGTTTTCCAAAGGATTATGTTGTTCAGTCTCTCTAGGCACTTACAAAGCGTGCTTATGCCATGCAGGGTCTGGACATGATGGGGTTTTCAAGTAGCACAAACATAGCCTCTGATTTTTTTTGGATAGTCCATCTAATCCTATCTCTAAGGGAAAAAACAGAAGGGTTTTACTCACTTCCTGATCTCTGATCTTGCAAAACAGTTCATAATCACTGGAGGATAGTGCTGAGGTAAACAGCAATAAAGTACTTGGTTAAGGGCAAGAGAAAGAGTTCGCACCCACACTGTCTCTGGACCAGACAGCTGATTTTAAGCCAGATCCCTCCTATGGGCTGATGGGGTAAGCTCAGCCGTTCCTAAGCTTTTTGGACTGGGTTAGCTGAGTCACTCTAATTACCCTTACCCTAGGGGACTGGTTGTGTGGTCACTTACTCTGTTGCTGTTACGCTAACAAACAAACTAAAGAGATTGTTGTTTCATTCAGAGATCATTTCCATGATGCAGTTGCATAAACACAACAGAGAGAGTGGGGAAAGGTGGGGCAAGAAGGAACAAGCACCCATGAGAAAGTAACATCTATAAGCTGTTCCACCAGAAGAAATGTAGTGTCCAGCTCCATCTAATGCCTTATTTGATGATACAAAGCATTTGGCAGCAGTGCTGATTTCAGCATGTCCCACTCTAGTCACCTACTCGTGCCCTCTGCCAGTGTCACACCCGTCCAATGTCCCCTCCAACAAAACACGGCAAACCGTAGGATGTGGCCGGTGTTTTGTCGCACTTTGTTAGTCTGCAGTTCCACAACCTGAGGCCTAGGGTAATCCAAAGAGAGGCCTGGCTGAGCAGCTAACAGGGGAGTATGAGGAGGGTGAGGAGTTGGAAAACAGCCAAATTATAGGTTGCCAGATACTGATCCATGACAACCCTGGCAAGAGACACAACCATGTTCAGAGGGTTGTCCCACCCCAGATTCAGTCACAGACACGCAATGGAAGTGGTGTGTAGCTTGATGGTCTAAGGTTATCAGTGAAGCAGTGTTAGCAGTGCAAGCTAATAGCTTGTATTAGACTAACTGCAAAAAAGACAAGTTTTTGAACTAACATCATTCAGGGATCTGAGAATTGCTCCAGACACACTTTAAGGACTTGCAAACCTCACTTACATGCACAGAACTTCACGGGTAACTGACACAAAACTAGAGGCCTTCAGTTGTCATCTATACCTAAATGACTATGTAAGGAAGTTAAAGCAGCAATCTCATACTGATAACACACCAAAAATACTTCTTTGCCTTTACCCCAGCCATGATGGAGGGCATCATTTATGCTAAAAAACAGCAACTCAAGTTCACACGTATTCTCTGTACTAGCACTACTCAATCATCATCCTCTTGTAAAGCTGCTGCTGATCAGACCTTCCAGGACAGATTGCAAGCACTAAAACCAATCAAAACAATCTGGGCTATCTGCAGTTTTAGACTAACAGGTTGGATCACCCCTGCCCCTGGCTGCTCTCCCCCTCCTCTCCAGGCTGGCTTTTGAAGCACTAGCAAAGAAAGAGGAAATTCTTGGAATTCCTTCATCAGCATTAGGGCTTGTTTTGCACAAACTTGGACAGAGGTTGCTCCTAAGGGGCCAACTCACACTTTCATCCTACTGCTGCGAGAGGTCCGCTTTTATTTATTTATTTTCCTTCCCCGCCAGCTTACCCAGCCTCCTTCGGTGAATGAAGTGCAGTAGTGTCGAGCACAGAGATGCTGACATCGCTGCTGGACTGGCTAGGTTTTAAATTACTCTCCCCCCTGGGAGGTGGAGGCTCTTTCCTTTTCTTCTTCGCAAAGAAGTTCTTGAAAGTCTGAAATTTGGATTTTTTCTTTCCTGCAACATGAGAAAAATGAAAATTTATGGAAGTTGGAGGTGTTTCTTAGCTTGGAGAATGTTATCTCTTAAATTCTGGAGGAAGCCTCGAAGGTAGAGCAGCCCATTCAGTTTTAGTCGGCTCCTTCGTAAATAATTCAGTGCTGGAGTCCAGTGAAAGGTGAAGCTGCAGTTCTTACATTTGCTGCTTATAAAGCAACACTGGCATTAAGCTGACAATAGTGGTGCCTACTTAGGTTCCAGTTTATGAAAAATACACCTTATATAGAGAATGTATCTAGCTACAAATGAATAGTGATCATGCCAATCATACTTGATATATTTGCAATAAAAAAATTTATGTCAATGTTTTTAACTCTTACTGTTCTTTACTCAGCTCGGTTTAGTTCTGCTTTCTCTTTACTCAGTGCTGTAAGAAGAGAACACCTGAAGGATATTCAACATTTGGCAAAAGATTGAAACTGGCAAAAGAATTTATAAACTCTAAAACCCAAATATCTGTTTCCACATTAAACCACTACCCCAAAATAAAATCAACAACTCCTCCAAGGACAATGGAGCAAACCTAAATTAAGACGCTGCCCTGCAGGTCATGAAACCCCCAAACATAGCAGCCCTAAGAACACAATTAGAAAATTGTTAACCTGATTTCAGATTTTCCATTGTCCAAATGAAAAGAAATACAAAAAGAACAAAATAAACTATACGAAACATCACTGACTTCTTTCATTTTTAATAACCTAAGATACTTTAACATTCTTATTTATATTTTCTTTCAGCACACAAGTGCTGCATTTTGTCACTGACCTTTACATTGGTCAGTTTGGAGTGGTTTGGGCCAAACTATTGTACTAAGACCCCTGTGATTGACTTAAATACATATGCAGAGCAATAACATCACTGTATATCTGAGCCAAATTCATTGTTCAATTAACACTTTACAGCAGTTGGCATAATAAATGCCCACAGCTGGAGGATTCTTTCATAACCAAGGCATTATTTCAACACAATTATTGTCTTCTCCCAGCAATGATTTAGTCGGCGATGCTCTGTCTCAACGTGTGCCCTGTACGTGTAGGGATCTCTGCCAATGAGCCTTATCTGGGCTGAAACTGTGCCACCCGCACAGCTGCATCAGACAGTAGCCACTTTGAGAAATAAACAATGATACTGAGATCTACTCACCCTGTCTCCTCCCTGCTCTCAAGACCAGTGCCAGCACCATGTGTCAGGACATACAAGGACACTGGTACACTGTCCGGCACGGACTGATGAAATGGCTACCTCTCTGCAGAGCAGTAGCAGCCACGGAAGACCTGCACATTGCTTTTCAAGTGACTTAGGCTGTCACTGAGACCAAATTATCTTTCAAACCATGTAGAGCAAAACTATCAATGGAGTCCCACTCATCTGAATAATAAAGGGATGTGGTGCTCCCAGGGAGGGTTTATCAGCGGGAGACCGTTTTATCTTCCACTGCTGCTTATCAGGCAGTAAGTTAATGAGATAGTCACAGAAAACATACAGGTTATATTGCCTGCCCCAGACTACAGAGCTGACCCCAAGGCTTTTGGATTTGTTAATACTCTCATGGGGCTCAATGAGTTTCACGCTGCGCCGACAGCAAGAACTGGTAAGAGAAGACAGGTCACAGAGCAACCAGAAGACCACAGTGCCTCTCAAATAAAACAAGTGTGTTGTGTCCTCTAGACAGTCTTTAGAAATGCCTCCCGACCATTACTGCCGTTCGTATCAGCAATTAGACAACGTATATGATACAGGGAACTTGTCAAAGCTGAGTTGGTTTATTTTAGATGAGCAAAACAAAAGATTAAAAAATGTCATGAAAGCAGTGCCCCAAAATTATCAATTCAGCAATGTCTGCTAACACAGTCCAATGACTCAAAGAACAAAGTCGCAGACTTTGCTACATGCAGAGAGCTCTGTGCAACTTAAAGGCAGCCTACATGAAAAACAAGGACATTGTCATGTACACTGGTCAGCTGACAGCGGTATGGACAGAATGCAAGTTTGATTCTAGTGCAAGTATTACTGATGAGCTTAATTAGATGCTGGTATTTCCAGAGAACCATGGGAATGTTTAAAAAAAAACAAACCACAACACAGTAACAACAAAAAAAGAAGTGATCCTAAGGACATTTAAGAGAAACAGACATAAGTCTTACCACAAAGGATAACATTGCCAAGGCACTACTCCAAATACTTGTTTAGATCAGAAGTGGTGCTAACTTTAGAATGGAGCCTATGGAAAGGATTTGCAAACGCTGCCAATGAGTAAACCTCAGCTGGCACAGGACAACACTTGGGTATCATTGTGCAACAGAGAGTTCTCTGATGCAGACACATCAGTTACTTCAGTGCATTCTCTAGCCTCTAATTTATTACTGATGTGCAGGATACACCCCCTCTAGCAATAATTCCTCTTCAGCCATGCTTTGCTCAGCTGCATGCCTTCAGCTGTTGCAGATGAATGTGAAAACACTAAGTTTCCCTACAGTCCCAGAAGATGGGCACTTGCCATACTACTATGCAAAAAAAGATAAAAGCACTACTAGACATTTAGAACTGCATGCAGATGAAAACTGGGACTGCTCTGTGTGAGAGCATTTGGCAAAAAAGACACGGTTCAGAAAGACGGTGTTCATATTTGTTTCCTGCTGTGAACAGTTGTGCGCTGGTTTCGCACGCCGTTAAAAGGATGACACATTTAATTTAAAGGTGCCTACATTTCAGTGCACTGTGAAGTAGCCCAACATATCACTAAATTGGTAGTGCTCTATGATACTTGAACTAATAATATACAAGAGGATCTTATTACTTAAAATGGAAAAAATTCATTGCATAACAAAAATCCAGTCAAAGCAAGGAGAGAAAATCCAAGCTCAGACAGCTATGCCTATATCCCTTTCACCCACTGATGAATAATGACTCATGATTTTTGAATTCTTATGGTTACCAATCTTCAATTCTATGGTATTAAAAATAAAAGATTAAATTTAAAGGCTACTGCCCTAAAAAGCAAAAGCCTTCCCAAAAATTAGTTGCTTATGCTATGATTTACCCCACTATAACAGAAAAGGAGCAGGAGTAAGTATTTTGCTTTCTCTGTAAAGTTTGTTTATTCTGTATTTTTTACTGTTTGTGTACTGCCTATTTCATTGTTTCTCCTGTGCACAGAGAGAATTAATGCACGTCTTTCTGCTCTTTGCATGGTTCTTCCTAACAACAAGATAGAAGTGAAAAAGATGCTTTTTCCAGTGCCAAATTGAGACTGTAAAAAGCACAGGGAACATCTGATTTGGGAGCTCAATTATCATATTTAAATTAACAGTTAATTTTGGGATCTTCTATGCTCTCTAACTTCCTAAGGTGTGTTCAGGACACATTTTCCACTTTTTCCTCAAATCCAAGGACTAGATATTTCACCAATAAAAGCACATGATCAAAAAACCCCACAGACAAGATTTCTGAAAATACCATGATTCTTCATAAAAAATACCTGATATTGCCAGAAAGGCTATTAAATCATGGAACTCAGTAAGGCTAACTAACATTGGGTGCTGACAGTTTTTGGACAGTGACCTGGTTACTGCCATCAAGGAAGAGCAGCATGCACTGGAAGCCCTCTACTAACTAGTCAGACAATAAGGGAAATACCAAGAAATTAATCTAATTGACAAGACTGTGAAGGTTGAGGATTTTAGCCACCTACAGCTTTTACATCACAAGCCAATTAAAGCTATGAGGAGGAAGAGGTGATGCAATCCTACATTACATGGGAAGTAAAACATCCTAAAATGGCTTTAACCAGGTCCAGTCAAGCGTCTCTTGAATACTTCAGCAATAGCACAGCAGGCTTTAACTTTATAAAATTTTGGTTCAGTTAGAGACAGAAATATTCCTGGTAGTTTTAGAGCCAACACTTAAGACAGCAAGCCACCTCCTGCCTTCCCTGTCACCCGGGTCAGAATTTGATCCATTTTCTGAACCTTCTAGTGAACCCAAATACAAAATTTGCATGCATGGGTTTCACACAAGTTCACCAGTGTGCCATGGATAGCACTGGACTATGTGATAAACTAGATTATAAATTTAAGAAACCAGCTGCTGCTGAGCATCCATCATTACACTTTCTTCACCCCTATCTATCTGCCACGCACAGTTCAACTAACAGTCACTTTCTCATTTGCTTCTCTGTTCTACCAGTATTCTGATAGTGGCAAATGTATTTCTAAAGGATAAAGCAAGATGACCTTTGAAACACAAACATTTAAGATGACTGTGAGACATAAGCCAAAGAAAAGAAAAAAAATGAAGCGATATGACAGCCACTTCTCCTGAAATGCCTCAGCCATAATACTATTCTTCATATTCACCTATCTCCTCAGGAATAGTCTGAACACCGGCAAAGGGGATCTCCTTTAATTAAGACAACTCTTTGGCATAAGTAAGATATTTTCCTTTCTTGACTATTATTTCATTCCCTCATGGCTGTTTGCATCAGCCCATGCCACCAGATTAAAGAATAAGTAACAAATGGTTGTCTGTGGCCAGAAGCAGAGAATGAGGCTGCAGTGGGGGTACTGATATGGCTCCCACAGACAGAGGCTGGCTAACAGGCTCTGTAGGATCCATCAAAGCAGGCACAACAATCAGCCCTTCAAGCTCTAACGTCCTGTTTTTGAAAATCCAAGCCAGAATCGGAAAAGAATATCCTCCATCAGGTTACAACCCTCCAGTACTGCACATTAAAAGATCTTTCCCATAAAATTGCCAGCTGACAAAGCCACACAGAATTTTTTTTTACACTACAAAAAACAAAACAACACTGCAAAACAAGTCACTACAGACCCCTCGACCTGAAGCAAATAAATCTTGACTTTCAAATCAGCTATGCATTTGGAGAAAACTGCTTACCTGTGCACTCTTCAACTGTCTCTCCTGTTTCAAGTGACTGTATGACCTCTGTTGGCCCCGTAGCCATGATATAGTCACTGAAATAGAGATGAAAGCATTAGATAAATTTTAGTCCTCCTTCCCAGCTGAATACAGTTCCACCCAGCATGAAGAAAGAATATGGCTGGATCCTTTCTGAAACTGCATACCCAAATGCTTATCACAAACATGGCTTGCACACTTTTTTTGCACTTCAGCCACAGAACTTCTCCTCATTTTTCAGTAACACTTACTTCTCCAGCCAAAACTTAACAAACCAGTGTAATTTCTTGCCAGTACCTCTCTCTTTTTAGGAAACCAGGGTCAAAGTTTGCATTAATGAAAGATGTCATTAAACTTGCTTAGCAAAGACTGTAATGCTTCCCAGTCTCAGAATAATGAACTTTTATGATTTCTCTTTGCTAGAGTGACAGCTCCATGCTATTGTAAAAAACATCTTAAGTAAGTGCTTTGCTGCCAAGGGTTCATGTATTACAGTATCCTCACAGCAGGCACCAGGCTAGTCTGTCAGCATTATTAAAATTAGTTAAGCATCAGCACTGAAGCATCGTCCTGGGCTATGCTACATTTGTGGAAACCAATAGATCAAATTTATTTTGGACTCAGTGCAATCAGCTTTTAGCCACAAGCTTTGAAACCTTATCGCAAGCAGGGCTATTGATCAACCAAATTAGCTGATGGCATCATCTTCCTCCCCAATGAAAACAAAAGTTCAGCCTAGTTTTAAGATCATTCAATGTTAACTGGCTCCACTTTGTATTTTCCAAGACTGCTAAATGGGTGTCTGTCAGAGACAAAGGAATTAAGCAGCAAACCACAAGAGTTACAGTACAAATGTCAAGCAACAATGGAAATGTGACAGTTTAGCAGGGCAGCTTATAAATAGTGTCCTTCGTTAGGGAAGATACCTAGGTGATACATTTACACAGTTAGCAGTTCCAATATGCTGTGTCAGGACTTAAAGATAAGAAATCTTTACAAACAAATGAAAATACCCAGAAACAAATCCTGCTCCCTTTTCTGCATAGACCTCATCTAGCAATTTTCCACCTCATAGTGGTATAACAATGCTGCCAAACTACGTATCTCAACAGCAAGCAAGATTATGGTTCCATACTAATTTGGCCAATCAGTAAACTATTCTATTTCTTCTGTATCACCCACAGATTCTATAACCTGTCATGCCCAAAAGCACTGGGACTTTCCTGTGAGCTCACCTCCTCAGATAACCTTAAAAGATAAGTTGCACAAAACCAGAAGCAGAGGCGATGGGACTGTCAAACAAAAAAAGGGGGGGGAGCAGACAATCGAGGTAAAAGAGGCAGGGCTCCTGTGAAAAAACAGACCGCAGAGTAAGCTTTCCTTGTACTAGCAACACAGATGTGCAAACTGCCATGCTGCTGAACTGTAGGTAGAAATGGAGGAGATAGAGTGCAGTTTTCTTCTGGTTTATAACAGATCATCTGTGAGCAGTGAACACAAGAGCGCGTTAACACACTGTAGTTCCAAGCAATCTCATCTCAACTTGCTAAAATCAACGAAGAAGTCATTGCAGCAACCAGGACTGATTACACCTTTTCTAAATAAGATGCACTGAGGATGTTTTGAAACAATTGTTAGACAATATTGAGAAGCAACAAAAAATAAGACTTTTAGGATTTTCCCTTTTGGATGATCATAACCATTCAACTCTTCTCAATTTTTTCCCACGTCTCATCAACTATCCATGAAAATGCCTGAATTTCCTGTGTATTTTGATTAAAGTGGTCATCAGCAGACTTTCTCATAGACTCTTTCTTGGTATTAAAAAGAAATTTGGTTCCAATTTTTCCCCTCAAGTTTATACACTATGCATATTGATTACATTAGATTTTTCTTGAGGGAAAGGGAAATGCATTTGAAATAAAACATCAAGAAAGTACTCAACAAATTTACAAGGACAAACTGGCAAGTCCCCAGACTTGAGCTTATTTTCACAGAATGTGAGTGGGCCTGACATTTGGCTCATTTAGACCTCTAACTTCTGCTTTACCCACCTTCAATAAAATCAAAGAGAAAATGCTGCTTTCAGATCCAGCTTTGTTTTCACTGGCTCTACATTTAAGTTACTCTATCATCTCAGCTGCTCACTCAGAATCCTTCCAGCCTTTGGAGGTATTTTGACTGTTGTGTTTATTATAACTGCAAGCATTTATTTCCAGTTGGTATATCTTTTATACAAGTAGAACTATAATTGCAAAGCAGTTCAGCTCCGAGGCAGTGTCTTCACAGCCAAATCAGCTCCAGCATTAACTCGATTTTATAGCTGAGTTCTCTGGGGCATACGGAGATCAAGTGTCAATTGCAAGGGTGCATCGGTCATTTGCAAATGTGCCCCATTTAGGACATAATGGTCTGGTGCCTTTGTATACCTCATCATGGCATCATCTTTTTCCAGCGAACTGAACAGCGACTTGACACGAGGGAAACCATCACAGATTTTTCCAAGCTTTAAGTTAGCAAGTATTTAAATGACAAAAAAAAAAAAAAAAATTTACAGCAAGGTGTAAGTTCCATCATTAAAAGCTTGATGGCATACCTGAAGGAAAGTTCGCAATTAGAGGACACTTAGACTTCAAATTCTGGTGGGAGTGAGTTGTGCTTCACAGACAACAGCTAGCAAATGTTCTGAGCAACAAACCCTAGCCTGGGGATCAGTGTAATGGAAAAAAAGAGGACAAAACCCCATCAGTACAAATACATGCGAGTGCACAGGCATTAACTGATCGAACTTTCAGACATTCACCACTTCCAGGCCTTAATGACAGCTGACAGACACGGTGTCAGGATGTATCAATACCATGTACGTTCAGTTCAATCAGCTGTGCTAACCATGTGCACCCTGCGAGACTTCCCACAGCATCACGCCATTAAAGACAAAGTTTTAAACAAATACTGTGTGCGTATTGACTTTTAGTGATAAAAATATCAGGTTAAATAAATGGCCTTTCAGAGCAGTATTTCTGATACTCTGCAGGCTAGGAGATGCTAGAGGACAGGTGGGAGAAGGAGCTCTCAGAGGGATGAAGGAGACTGTCTCCTCAGGGGGGGAGCAGTCAAGGCAGAGCAGTGACAGATTGATAGCTGCTGACCAAGGTAGTAGAGTGTCAAGTCCCAGCTACTGTTTGCTTCCCACAAGAAGTGGAACAGTGGGCACGTTTCGCCAGTCTACAACTTTCTAATCACGTTCTTAATCCTCTCTCAAACAGCTTTTGCAATCCCTGCATATGCACAGGCCTCTTGCTGCAGAGGTACAGTACAGACAAGATGCTGAGTCTCTGCTAGACACCTTAAAAGCCAGGCCTGGCCCTGCCCGGTAACTCCACTGCAGCAATTCCTGTGTAAGGCCATGGAAAAGACTGAAAGCTTACTGAAAGCAACAAGAATTGACTACACGGTGTTCACCTCTCCTCACACAGAGTGATAGGCTGGATTATTACACCTATGAATTAATGAATTACTTGCAAACTGTGAAGTAGCTTCCTATACAGATGCAATCACAACAATTAACCTGACATTACTAGACCCTACTTGCATTGCCAGGGTATTTTAAAGCAATGAAACTCCTACAAAGTTGCAGGGCTTGCCTTACTTTCAAAGCAGGCAACGAGACCTAGTTAGAAATCATCACTACCCTCTCCTGGTTTGATGGTTTAGATCTAGGCTCCCTGCTATCCCATGCAAAACTTCCACTAATAACCCTACTGTGTTGCATTCACTTGGAGCTCTTCAACTCATTAAAGGAACTAATGAGTCTTAAGACAAAAAAGAAATCTCCAGGAATAGGAGAAACATCCTTGTCTCCCTTTTACAGACTGGGGCAACTGGACAGATATTTGGAGTGCTCTATGGGAGGGCAGTGAGAGGGCAAAAGAAATAGAGTCCCAGGGTCCATTCCCTTTTCTCAGCTAAGGACATTACTGAATACGTGTATCATGGGGTGGGGGGCGGAATGCTAAAAGAAGAAAAGACAATGCCCTTTCACTGCTTGGTTTGTGTATTTAAGGACTCCTGGGAAGTTAACATCATACAGGACTCAAGTTTCCTGCATTTAACAAAGGCCCAAGACAAACAGAAACACTTTCTGCTCAGCCTTAGAAAAGGGACACAGCCTCCTTGCTGTCTCTCCAGTGGAGCAGAAGACTTGGAGACTGCACAGCAAGCAAGCTCCTACCCCATCTTCAGTGTTTCTTCAGCTTCACTCCCATGCTTCTGTATAAGCATTCTGGAAGGCCTTATGACAGAGAGATCAAAGGAGATGCTGAACCCTGAACAGCCTCTTTCCTACCAAATAAATGCTTGAGGAAATAAAGACTTAAGAATATGAGGCACTGCATTCAGTTAGCATCTTCATAGCCTACAGAAGACAGACAATGGCAAGCAGCCAAGAGAAAGAGGTGAAATTTTTGCCTGGAGCTTTTAAAGACCAATTTCCTTCATGCTACAAAAATTATTTGAAATCAAGCTTACGCTCCAGATTTCATGACACACACTTTGCACAGAAAGACGGATTAGTATAGGGAAACGCATGCCCCTCATCTGGTCCTCTATGCCACCACTCTGCAGCCAGCCTCCCCCCAGAACACACTTCAAGCTACTGCAGGATCTCAGAGAAAGCCCCTCTATTTCTCTTGAGCACCGAGTTTCAAACAAAACTACAGAATGCAAGACGGTTTAATATTCAGATTACATTCTGCAGCAAAAGGTAACCAACAGGTTAAATTTTTACTCTGCCTTATTAAAGCACATTAGAGGACTTTGTTCTGATGGAATGTGGTTGATTGCTTTCCTCTCTGGGAACCCTACAAGCTAACCATCAATGAACTCGTTAGTCCAACGACAGTTAAGTGAAGTAAAGTTTACCCTCTGCAACTCCACGGAACAGGATTTCAGAGTCAATCATAATGCAATAGCAGAGCCAGCAAGATTTTTATTCAATTTTCATATCCCTTGAGCATATCAGAAACTCAACAAACAAAGCTCCCATTGCTCTCCATGC